AATTAGTCTGAGTTTCTTTTCTTGCTATCTTAGGATATGAAGTTTAAATTTATTCTTTTCTTTGTATAAGAGTTATACTCCTGTATGATTTTTGCTTTGTATGAGAGTTAAATTAAATTTTAATAAAGACAGAGACATGGTCTCACCATTAACATTCAAAAAAAAAAAAAATATTGCCTGATACAAAAATATAATCAACTTTATTATCCACCCAAACATTATAAATGGAATATTCGATATTGTAAAGTACATACTTGGATCGAAGTTGAAGAAAACAATCAATCAACACGGCATATACTTCATTACTCTGATCACTATGCTGAATTTGGAAAATTGTATTGTATGTCACATAGTGATGTTTTACTATTTATTGAATCAAGTAAAGTTGATGGTTATGGGAAAAAAACATGTGATATCTGCAAAGGTTTTACATACTGTGCAGTATGCTCTTATGAATTTCGAAGAGATGAAGTATCAGAATTAAGAGAGAAATTAAAACTAGTTCAAACAGAATATATTATAGGGGAGGATTTGTAGTGTATTTTATATTTAATTGTAAAACATGTCAAAAGCATTTATTATCATTGAATTCAAAATATTCGTATATTGATATATCCGTTTAGTTTAATTACCGAATGGAATTTTATTTCTGTAATCGTCAATTTTACACAGTTAAATTTTTAATTATATAATTTGAAATGAATTATTTTTATTTATTATTTAAGAATCGATTTAAATTGAAAAATATTAATGATTTACCAAACGAGATTCTACTTATGATATTTTACTATTTCTCTAGTTGTTCCAAACAACTCAAGAAATGATTCAAGAAATAATTGGAATCCCATAATTTATTTTCTTCAACCAAATATATATAAACCCCTTTTTTTCTTTATTCAGATTTTTAAATGCTTTTCGTTATCGAGATTGGATCAAACCTATCTTTCTGTATGATCGAACTTGCGAAAGCCTTCTCCCTTTGTTTATCGATAGTCTGTCTCACATCTATCTTTGTAATTTTTCTCAAATCCAATAAACAATCTAATCAGTCTCTAAAGACCGATTAGATCTTTCTTCACACAACCTTACTGTTCAGATCTTTAAAGGTGAGAGAGATTCGCAACCTGTAATAATCTTTACTTTATGTAATAACTATTATTAACTCTCACTTCTGCTAACTCAGCGACTTCATTGTGGGTTGTTTGTCGACTGGTTTTCATAATTGTGATTCATTTACTTGAATTATTTATGTTGTAATTCCAGATGCCAAAAGTTTCTTCATTGAAATATTATGCTGTTGCTAAAGGAAGAGAAACTGGAATTTTTTTATCATGGGACAAATGTAAAGAATACGTAAATAGGTATCCTGGAGCTTTGTATAAATCATTTTATATAAAGATCGAAGCTGATCGACTTGCATATTTAGGTTCAAAAAACCCAACTATTGAATTAACTTTACCAGAACGTAAAAATACTATCAAAGATTATTTCAAATAACTTTGTTTTATTATTTTATTATTTTAAATAAAATATTTTGAACCAAAAAGATCTAATCAGTTTATAAACTGATTAGATTTTTATTATAACAAAAAATGTAAAAAATGTCTTGGCAAGAAAAATTCAAAGACTTCAAAATTTTGTCTGATTGGGAAAAATATGAAAATTCAAAGTATCCTAGACGTAAATTGAATGAATATCGTCTTGTAAAAATCAATTTTACAATCTATTTAGAAGTAAAAACTCAAAAACCTGAAATCACTTTCCTCCTTGATAAAGAGAATTTTCATCTCTTGAAAAATTATACCTGGACTTGTGTTAAAGATGGAAACACATATTCTATTCAAAATAAAAAAAAGCATATTCATCGTTTGATTCATCCTGATTGGAAGATGATTGATCATATGAATCGTGATGGATGTGATAATCGTGAATGTAATCTTCGGGAAACAACATCAAGAGAAAACCAACTAAATCGTAAATTACAAAAAAATAATACTTCAAAATATAATGGAATTTGTTATAATAAAAGAAAAAATGCTTGGAGATTTCGTTGGTATGAGAATAATAAACGTAAAGTTAAAAATTTTAGAATTACAAAGAATAGAACTAGTGAACAAGCAAAACAATTAGCGATCGATTTTAAATTAACTCACGATGAATTAACTGGAAACAGAAACAGATATCCTATAACTTATTCATAACTAAGAATTATTTAGAACTATTTATTTATTGAATTATTTATAGATTTTCATCTTTAATAAACATATTTTTTTATATATTATATTCTTATAATCAATTATCAAATGGCGATTCGTATTGTCGACTAGAAGGAATTTGAATACAGCGTATGAAAATGGGTGAAGGATCCAGTTAAAAATTCGAATCAGAATGATCATTAACTAAAAAAACTATCAATCACAACCCACGATAAGCAATTGCGAGGCTAGCGGCAGCTGAAAAAAAAGAGTGTCGCGGAGACAAAAAGTTATTATATCTAATCAGTTTATAAAACCGATTAGATTTTTTCTTATGTAATTTAAAATGTCTTCAAGTAATTCTGATTCTGAAACTCAAGAAGATATTACTAAAATAAAAGTTAAAAAAGAACATGCAAATCTCACGTGGTTCAGAGAAAATGATAATACAAATTTTCGTAGACCAATCATGTATCTTGATGATGATGGACACATTACCGAATATACTCAAATCAAGTTGAGCAGTAAACAAAACGCCCTTCTTGATAGAAAACACCGAGAATTCTTGAAGCTGCATAAATTTATTCTTGATAAAGAAAACAATATTATCAAAGAAACCAGCAAAGAATATTTACTCGAATTACTTTATCCAGAAGCTAAATTAGCAAACATCAGATTTAAGAATGGTTATCCATTCGATTTACGTGAATGTAATATCAAGATTGTTTAACAACAAAGAAATTTTGAACAATAATGTTTTTTTATTATTATTCTTTATTAGTATCAATTGTATTCTGAACAATAAACTTTATTTTAAATATTACTTTATTTGAATTTGATATATGTTCATTCGTCAATGAGTCTTTATTTAGTTTAATCATTTTTTTGTTTATTTATAATAAGCAAATTATTTATTTGTTTTTTTTTAGAACCAATTATTTTATTATGAGGTATTATTTCATATGTTGTTTGTTGTTTGTTTAACGTTATTTTTTTTTTAAACTTGTACATTTTTCAGTGGTTGGGGACCACCACCGAAAAAAATAATTGATTACTACTACGATCCGTTTAAAAATATTAAACCTTACTGTGAAGCTTGTTGTTCTACTGAACATTTTTATAAAGATTGTAAATTTAAAGCTAAATTCTGTGTTGCTTGTTATTCAACCGAACATTTTTTTAAAGACTGTTTATATAACAAATGTTCATAGTGTGATAAAAAGCATGTTGGTTCATGTAAAAAAACAAAATATTGTTTTATTTGTAAAAAAAATAATCATGAGTTTATAGATTGTTTTTTTTTTAAAACAAACAATAAATAAAATTTTTATTTATATTTATAAAAATAATTAAATAATTATACATGAAAGATTTAGTGCTAAATAATGATGTGTGGTGTAAATTAAAAGAAAAATTGTTATTAAAGTGAATATACTATGTTTTAATAAATCGGTTAAGAAATATTTTAAGTAATTGTTTTTGAGATTTTTTCTGAGGTCTTTATTTTTTTTTTCAAGTTCTTTGATTTTTTCGAGTTCTTCTTTAATTTTTTCATTTTCTTCTTCCAGTTTTTTATTTTTTTCTTCGAGTTCTTTAATTCTTTCATCTTTTTTTACAATCATGTTTTTGATATTATTAATCACTAATGGACTTTCTTCTTTGGTTTGTTCTGTCATTAGATTTCGATAGTATCAAAAATATTTCCGATTTTTTCCTCTAATTTTGGATCTTCTTCTCGTCTGATTAATATTTTGTAAACGATATCTAGATAATGTTGGTTTGTGATTGTAGGACTATTTATAAAAAAATCATTATTGTGTTCAATTTTTGAACTATATTTAGTAAACCATGATGGATCCGGATATTTCAAAAAGTTACTCATCAATAAACTATATAGTTGATCGAATTCTTCTTCTGTTGCATCAACGACTTGTCTATATATTTTCATAATTTCTGATATACATATATTTGCATCTATATGTTCGTATGCTCCTTTCATATAGTATGGTCGTGTTTTTTTAATTATAACACCTTTAGTATTTTTAAGAGTTTTTCTGCGTCATTTTTTTTCTCGTGGTTCATCATCATCTCTTTTACATTTGTGATTTTTCCCGAATAAATTATCAACAAAATCATCATCTATATCTTTGATTGTTATCAAGGATATTTTTTCTTTTATCTTTTCTTTATTTAACAAATCTTTTTTTCATAGACTTCTACGATTTTGTTTCGAAGATTTAAGAGAATTTTTTTATTTTTATCATCTAGTAGTTCTATTCTGTGATCAAAATACTCATCATTTTTTAATATGCTGATATCATTCTCATCTAAAATATAGTCTTTGATCATTCTTTTCGCTTGGAATGTTCCTACCAATGAATCAAGAGCTTCGTAAAAGTTTTTAGGGTTGTTTTTATTTCTATTTGTTGATGGTTGTAATTTCGATCCTAATTCTTTTCTCAATTTTTGTAGTTCATCTACAGATTTTGGTGGTTTTAAGTAATTTTGATCAAGTCCTTGAATCAAAATATCATACGTTCCATTATCTGCAAATTGATTTTTATCAGTGTCTTCTTCCATGTTTTTTTTTATAAGATCGTAAAGTAAATTATAGTATTTAAATTTTCTAAGTTCGATAAGAACATTTTTATCCTTTTCTGGAGATAATAAAGTCTGATTCAGGTTCATTATATTATTTGTCAATGGACTATCATTTGTTAATAGATGAACCCATTGCCAACTGTAATAATTATCAATTTGTTTGTTGTAAGTATCATAATCACTTAACGCTTTTTCTTTTAAGAATAGATCGAGATGGCCACGCCTTTCTTGTTGTAATATCTCGGTTTTTCTTCCATTACTAAGGTTCGCATCATTTAATCGTCTGATTCTACGATCAATCGGACCAGCATCGTTAAGTTGTCTGTAATCCTCGACACTTTGAATATCTTTACTGATTTGGTCATAGTATTTATCAGATAATTCTTTTAATTTATCGATTCTATCTTTATTCAGTTTAACTTTTTGATCTTCGGTTAAATTTTATTTCTTAGTATTTGATTGTACCAGAATCCATTATTAATCAATTTATCAGTATCTGTTTCTCTGGATATACTTTGTCAGATTTTATCATATATTTCATCGGTTTGTGTTTTTTTCAGTTCATTAATTCTATTTTCTCTGGCTTTATTCAGATTATTTTTATCTTCCTGTGTGAAATTTGAACTGCTTATTTGATTTGGCCAAAAATTCTCTAATTTTCCAAGATCGGTTTCATTTTCAATATCGGTTTGCATTGTGTTATAATCATTAATATAGTTAACAAGATGATCAAGTTTTTCTTTTCTCAGTTTATTAAGTTCACTCGTCATTTTTTCAGGAAGTTTTGCTGTAGCAATTTGTATATACCAATATCCAAAATCTCTAAGGTTAGAAATTTCTGTTTCTTTATTGATACCATCTTTTATGTTATTATATCTTAGGACTATTGCTTCTTGATCGATTCGTATTTTTTGTAATTGATCTTTTTGTTTATCGTTCAATTTAGTGTTTTGAATTTCTTTATCGAGCGGACCATTTTTTGCCAGTTCATCAATATTGTATGTGTTTTCTATTTTTTTTTTAATTTTATCAAAAATATCGTTAGGGGTTTTATTTTGATGTTCGGCAGTCGCTATACTTGCAAAGAAATAATCAAGTAATTCGTCATCTTTGGTTCGTTTGTATTTTATTTTGAATTCATTTTTTGGTTTATAGAGACAATTTGTAAATTTTCCTCCTGAACTACACTTAACTCTCATTTTGAAAATTTTATTTATTTTGGAACAAGAACAAGTTTATTTATATATTTTCAAAAGAGTTACAATCTTGGTCTTTTAATTTTTCCAACAGCAGCACCCTTTGGTTTATGAACTGGAACATATTTTGTTTTACCGTGATTATTAAATTCACGAAGAAATAACCCTCCAGGGTAACTTTTGCACATTTTACCTTTGTATTTAATATACGTTTGTATTTATTTTTAGCAAAATCCCACGTATAAAGTAAGGGTAGATTTGGTTCAATAACAACCAAAACATCGTCTCTAATTCTTGGGGTTTTGGTTCGTGCACCAAAAATAATATTCACGAGCGTTAAGAAATAAAGTATTTTATAAAAATTCATTTTTTTTTAAAGTTCAACAGAGAATATTGTTTATTTATATATTTATAAATCTTCTTCCATTTTACCATCATCTTTTTTACAACATTTATCCATCATTTCAATGAAAGCAGTAATATTATTAGTGAAATCTTCATGAGGTTTCCAAGTAAATTCCATTGTTAAGTTAGTTATGAATAAAGGAATTCCACAATTTCCATTATCTAAATCGAAGGTTTCACCGAGATTTTCTGGATGATTGGTTCCGGTGGTTTTTTTGAATTTATACATCCAGTCTATATAATCCATTATGATAACGAACGCGTAATTTCCTTTATCAAATGTTTTTGCATCATTTTCATCAATTTCTAATTTACAGACTTTCAATTTACCAAAGTCAATACAGAACTCGAACACATGATTTTGAAACATACATCCTTCACATCCTATTTTTTCGGTATATTCCATTATAGGGTTTATATATTCTCGAAATTGAATATCTTTAAAATCTCTATCTAAAAGTATATCTCTGATTCCTGGGTCAGGTTGAACTGCTATTTCTTTGTCACAAATTTCAATGAGGTAAAATTTTAATTCTAAATCTTCTTGAATTGGAGTGATATTGGTTGTTATATCATCACCTTCCATATCAACATCTACTGGTAGTTCTAAAAGTTCTGTACTATCCAGACGATGGTATGATGTTATTTCGAAAGTTAATATAACATCATGTAATTCAAGCTTATCTCCTCGATTTTCAATTTCTTGAAATAATCTAAAGTAAGTAAATCTTTTATCAAGTGGTTCATAAAAAATTCTATTATTTAAAGGTTTTATAGTCTCAAAAGTTTCAGTTGTTGCTTCGGGGTCTCTTTTTCCAATACATTTATTAATTTTTTGAGTATCATTACAAAAGGCAACAACACAAGCTTTGGAAGGGTCAATTTTTTTAGATTCCATTTTTTTTAAAAAAATAAATTATTACATCTTTATTTATATATTTTTTTGGAGTATAATATAATTGATACAATAAAAAAAAACTAAGTTTCATTCATCACAACAATTAGTTATTTTTTGCATTAATCTTTGCATTTCATGAGCTTGCATTTTCGGTAACTATACTGATTCGATACTTCCATCCCCTATAAATGATGGAATTCCAGTATTTCCTGTGGCAAGATTAAGATTTTCACCTAAAGAACCAGTGGGAGCTTGTCCAGATATTTTTTTGGTTTTAAACATAAAATCGTTATAATCTAAAAACATTACAAACAAGTAATTTCCTTTTTCGAAAAATGCAGATTCCGTATCGCTTTCCTCATTTTTGAGACAAACATCCATTTTATTGAGATCCAAACATATGATTATTTCATCTGTTGTGAAGGTACATGTACTACAATTAATCACAGTTTCAGTGGAAATAATTGGTTTTATGTTGTTTTTGAATTGGATGTTTTGAAGATCGACATCGATCAATAGATCGTCAACACCTAATTCTTTTTTTTTTGCCAGATCACGATCACAAAGTTCAACAATGTAACTTTTGATTATTAATTCTGATATAAGAGGAGTAATTATAGTATTACCTCCTATTGTTGGTATTCGAATTGTATTTGTTTTATCTTCGTTATGATAAGTTACTATCTGTAAATGTATTGAGATATCAATTAATTGGAATCGTTTGAAAGGTTCAAATTTTTTTGTTTGAAATAGTCTAAATGTCATCATTCTGTTCCAAAGCGAGTCAAAATAAAAGGTTTGATTCTGAGCATCCTTTCTTGCTCCAAATTGTATTTTAGTCACTTGTACTGCAGGTGGTCGTTTTGCTTTACAGATGTTTAGTTTTTCTTCGTCATTGATACAGGTACCAATTTTATATGCTGATGTTGTATTTACTTTTTTTTTTGTTGGTTTTTTTGATGGTTTTACTCTTTTTGCAGGCGGCATTTTTTATTTTTACATCCACACGATGTGCACTTTTTGATTACTTTTCTAATAGTCTTCTTTCTTGCAATTGTTTTCTTTCTAGCTTTTGTTGGTCTGAATTTAACAATACCTTTTCTTTTAGTTGGAGCCACTTTGTTTATATGAATCGATGAAAAAAATTATATTTTGTATTATTTCGTGGATCGAGTTACCGGTTTGTGTAATGATATGCGATAAATCAAAGAATTTAACGTGCAAGATGATTATGGTGTATATGATTGTTATTAGGAAAAGAATTTGTAGATAAGAAATTGTCAAATCGAGTTTTAATCTACGTCTATTATATTGTTCGCAAAAATCTAAGTCGCTCTGGGCCATTTATTTTTTTTTTAGTCGCTTCTGTCCTTTTATATATTTTCTACGAAACCCGATCCGTTTTTTGGATTTTCTGAACTGGTTTTCCACATCGCGGCAATAGCCTTCATAGTTTCACCATTGCTTTCGTATTTTTTTCTCATATCTTGAAAATTATCCTGGATGAATTTTTGATATTTTGTTTGTTTTTTTTCTTTTATTTTAAATTCTTTTTTTTTCTTTTTGTCATTGTCGGCAAAGTGGATATCCGCTAATCGTTCTATGTTTGTCAGATTTGTTATCACATAGTCAGGATCGTAACTGGTCAACCTTTCGATCAAATCTTTTTTATCTTTTGCCTTTTTTAAGATTTGTTTAAGTTTTGTATTAGGAATTTTAGCCATGTTTGTTATTTTTCTATATAAAGAGAGTTTAGACTATTTATACTTTTTATTATGAGTGTCTTAAAAATTTCAAAGAAGTTGGAAGATAAATCTTCTGATTTTGATGAGATCATTAATACTATTATGTCGACGGAAGAACGAACAAGTCTTTCAGACGCATTTAGAAATTTACGTAAAATTCGAGAAGAAGCTTTTGAAGAGTTCAACGATATAATTGATGAAAAAAATAGGATTATTGAAGCATTGATCAATACAAATAATATATTATCTACTGAATCGTATTATTACAAGACTCATTGGTTCACAAAATTATCTGACGAAACATCCGATTAGATCAAAGATTCAGTTATGGATATGTATGATAGGATTCCATTTCCTTCTCCTATAGACAAAATAATGAAGAATTCGATGGTGAAAAAACAAATATTCGATACCGTGTTAAAAAAAGTCTCATTAAAAACTTCATCAGGAATATTGGGGTTTATAGAATTTTCTTTAACATTTCATTCTATAAGACTTGTTGAAATTTATATATATAATTTTATTTTAATAACTTCTATTATCTATTATATAAATCATTTATTCAACTTAGATATGGTTTGTCAAATAATTTAGTTTTAGTATTTTATTTTGGTTTTAAAATGTCAAAAAAAATACTTCTGAAATACATGAATGTATAAAAAAAACCAACATTATAATAAATAAAAAATATTATTATCCATATTATAGTCTTATAAGTGTTTTCATATCCTATTTTATAAAGATCTATCATTTTATCAAAAACTACCATCATCAAATATAAAACGATAATGGTCAGGAAAACATTTTTGTAACATTGTTCAAATACCCAAACAATTAGTTTGTAGTAGCCGTGCCATGTGAAGTAGATGTCAGAGAATTGTAGTATATGAGTCAGAAGCTGTAATCAAAATTTAATTAGCAAGTTAATTAATTTAACAACCACAAAACTAAGATACGTATATTGATCATTTTTCAATTTAGGTTTGTTTAGCAGAAGGACAATCCGATCTTATTTTATAGTTTTTATTACGTTATATTTTTATTTATATGTATAAAGTAAAAATTATGTAATATAAAAAAATTTTATTTATACATAAATATCAAAAATATTAAATCAAATACTTATTTTTTATTCATATTATAATATTCATATTCATATAGAAATTACAAGATTCTTTTTCAGATTTTGCACTTACTTATTTTGCCAATTTATCTTATCTTATAATTAAAAAATAAAAAAAAAGAAAATTCTAAAAAAAAAAGTTCGAAATTTGTCTTATTTCTTAGACTAATATGTTTCAAAGGGGTTTAAAGTACAGATTTTTTGATCATAATAATAAAATTCATATTTGTTCGGAAAACTGATCAAAAAATATTCGGCGTCAGGCAACGTTTCAATTTCAATGTTGTTTGTTAGGTCTTTACATTTGATTTCTTCTGGGACTTCACATTTTTCTTCAGAATTGTTCAAAAAAAGAGCCCGAAACAGATTCGGAATAGGTAAAGATTCAATTCTCAACTTGTAAAAGACAGAGGATAAATTAAGGTCTATTTGATTTTGATAAACCATTTTCAACAGTTTGGTAGAGTTCGAGTAATTATAATTCCTAAAATTAAAAAATCATAAAAAAATTGCAATTTAACAATAAAAAGAAAACAGAATAAAAAATTATTATAGTAGTTTGAACTTTGTTGCTAATTCACTTACTCGATTTTTTTTTGTTTTGATTGTTTTTTTTTATTTTTTTTATTTTTTTTGTTTTTGTAATGTTGAAATTCTTAATGGTGGTTTAAATAAAAAATTTAAATGGTTGTATCATAATGAAAATATTTTTTGGTTCAATATCTAAAGCTAAATCTAAATCTAAAAATCGTATATAAAATAGATTCAAATTTCACGATAATCCGATTTCACGATAATTCGTGACAATAATTTATGCATAATAATAATTGCATTCTCTAGCACTGCTGCGAATGAGCCAATAACAATTTCTACATGGAGAAGAAAATGAGGTACATGCAAGTTAACGGTCTCGCATAATTAAAATTCTGAATATCAAATAAAACAGTCAGGAACTAGAATGTCATTTGTGAATTTGATTGGCCGTTCATTGATATTTTATCAAAATATAAGATATCTACTTTAAATGATCCCATTCGAAATAACTCAGCTAGAATCATGTGATCTATTTCAATACTATACAAGGTGTGATCTAGTCCATTTTAGGTAAAATCCCTAAATATATAAATATGTTTGATATGTATGCATTTTTTTTAATAATAAATAAAAAAAAATAAGGTAATTATTTATTAATTATTTATTAAAAATTACAATTATTATTTTTTAAACTAACATTTTTGTCGCAGATATGAATAAGAACAAGATTTTTATTATCTTTCTGTTTTTTGTTCTTGTTAGTTTGGGTTTTGGTAAAGAACTCAAACATAAAAAAACAAGATGTTCCGTTTGTCTTGCTGCTGATGTGAATATGTATGGTTATAACAAACGTACTCATGTTAGTGTTGGGAATCATAAACGCAAACGTGATTCTAATAACAAGAGATACAAATGTAGCATTTGTGGCAGTCTTGGTCACAACAAACGAACCCACCCCACCTATTAAGTTTCTATGTTTTACTTTTTATGTTTTACTATGTGATAAGCTTCTTTTATTTTAATAAATAAAATTAAATAATATTAAATTTTATTGAGATACATTGAAAAATCGAGATTGAATTCTTTAAAAATTAATTCATATTATATTCAATAAACTTCATAATGATAGTTGCTAAGATAGAAGCAACAGCTCCTTCGATATTTTTGTTATATACACAAAAAATAAAAAACAACAAAAGAACAAATAACAATCTATTAAATTCTGTTTTACGTTTTTCTTTTCTTTTTTCTTGTTTTTCTTTTGTTTTTTCTTTTTTTTCTCTTTCTTCTCTTTCATTTCTTTCTCTTCTCTCTTCTTTTTGGTCTTGGAGCAGTTTAAAAACTATTTCGTCAGTTCGTTTGTTATGTTTTTGATTAAGCTTTAAAACTTCTTTATTATGTTCATAATGAGGGCAAGCCTCTTCTTCTTTTTCTTTTCTTCTTTCGTACCAATTATCGAAATATTCATCTATTTTTTCGCTAATAATAATATTAATATCATATAATAGAAATAAACAAAATAAAATTATATTTACCTGTTCATAATTAAAATAACGAATTGAGATAAAACTAGATCCATTTTTTAGTTTATTTTTTTATTTATCATGTATTTGAAAATCTTTCTTTATATACTTTTGTGAATTTTAGAATTTTCGAATCAAGGTTTTTAAATCAAGATTAAATTGGCTGCAGCAAAATATAACGATCATTTCTTAGAATAGCAATGTTTTAACATATATATTTTATTTTAAAATTTAATTTAGAATATCATTTCTAGAAATAGAAAACTTAAATAATATAATTTTATATTGTACATAAAAAAAATTTAAAATAACTTTATATTTAATTTAGATTTTGCCAGATTTATCTATAAGATTTTGCCAAGATTTGTCAAATTTATCACAGTAAAATATTTTTTATCTATTTTCAGCCAATCTTTTTCCAAGGATATGATGTCATATATATTTAAATATATTGAATAATATAAGATTTAGACTCAGGTTTCAAAATACATTTTTTTACTCCATTGAAATAAAATTCATATTTATTCGGATGATTGATCAAAAAATATTCAGTATCAGGCATTTTCATGTTTTCAATATTATTCATCTTGTCTTTACATTTGATATTTTCTGGTACTTCACATTCTTTTTCAGTTTGTTTATTTAGAAAAAGAGCACGTGCAAGTTTTGGCTGCGGCAAGGTTTTGATTTTTAGAAAGAAAGTTCCAAAATCAATAACTTTTTCGTCAGGACCAGGAAAATTCAATCTAAGCATTGTTATTAAATTGTTATTTGTTATTATTTAATGTTCAAATTTTTAAAGTCAAACTAGAGCGAGAGTTCATTTTATTTATAAAAAATTTGTTATTACCAATAAATTTATTCATATATTTGCATTTATGTACATAGTAAAGTTGATTCTGCCTCAATAAAATATGCACAACTCTTAGTAAATATTTGTTATTTGCATAGATTTAATTGCATTATCAATTGATCAGTTATATATAATCTATTTCAAAATCTTATAAAAACTTTATTTATAATAAATTAAATAATCTATTTATAATTTATAAGAAATATATTCAATTTGATAAAAGAAGAAACGCCATAAAAATATAATTTTTAATACAAAGATAAAATATAGATTTTACTTTTTAGAAGTGCATACATAATCTCTTTGTTGTATTTTTTCTAAGACTATTCTAAATATATATATATATATTTTTTTTTTTTTACCTCCCTCCGCATCTCGAAGGTCCTTAGACACCTTCGGATCTCTCACATCTCTCAAAGGCCAGAGTTTTCGTATCTGCGGAGATCACCGGTATGGCGAATTGGCCACCTATATGTCACCGTACTGGTGAGATAACTCATGCTCCGTTAAGTACGTCATATAATGTCCCGGGTCCCTGGTGCCGCGGTGTAGGATCTACATTCTCTAGATCCGCAGTTCCCTAACTTCACATGACCCACAAGCCGGATCGTCCTTTTATATATCCTTAAGCTGGGTTTTTCTCAATTTTAGCATCGTTTGTTGACAGATTACGCCTTATCTGGTCGTCCCCGGCCACCATGGCTATGCCGGCGGACTGCAACTTGTACGATCTTACATTACATTTTTAAGAATACGATAATTATTATTAATATGTGCGATTGTCATAGTACAAATTCTTACATGATTATAATAGAGTTCATATTGGTTCGGATGTTAGATTAAAAAATATTGGGTATTCAGCATTCTTGAGATGTTTTGATTATTTGTTGTGTCTCGAAGAATGATTCCATCTGGAATATTCATTCTATTAATTCTATTACCATTATAAGTAATAAAGCGAATGATAGCATCACGATTATTTATATTAGGTAAAGTTTGGAATTGTAAATTAAAGGGTAAAGTACGATAGATAACAAAATTGTTATTCGGAGGAAAGAAGTGATTCAATCTTCTGTTTTCGTAAGCCATTGTTATTATTATTATTTTTATGTAATATTAAGGATTATAGTTTTTTTTGTTTTATTGTTTTGTAGGCAGAGAGAGGCCAGAAAAAGTTTTTTTCAAGCACAGTTACTTATTTGTTGTTTTATGAAATTTTTTTTAGGGTCAATGTTTTATTTTTCTGGGTGGTAAGAGCAGATTTATACCCAGAGAAAAGTTTTATTACCAGGAAAAAGTTCATTATTATCATGTATATTCAGTAGTTACATGTATTTGTTTTGATTTTAACACTTCAATAGAATTTTTAAAGATATTACATATTAGAAATTCACAAGGAATAACTTATAAAATTACGTAGATAAAATTTTTAACAATGATGCAAGTTTTTTTGGTTAGTCTATTCGACCAGATTTACCACAAGTTCTATGATAAATGATTTCAAATATTTATAAAATAGGATTTTTACAAAATTTCACATTGTAGTTACGTATCAAAATTTTCTATATAGATATTTTAGAGTTTAGCACCTTTTTGATTTTGTTCTTTAAAAATTTTTTTTAGTGTTATTCTTTGTTTTACAAGCTGCAGATATGCATTTTTAAAGGAGGTTTAAGGCGGATTTTGTTTCAAATTCTGCAGGTTTTTGTTTAAAAGTTTCAATTTTTTAGAAATAACAATAAAAATTAATTTGGTAAAATCATACTGTTAACAAATTAAGTTAAATGGCATTATAGAGACTAATTTGAATTCATTCATATTATTGGTCTTTAGGAATTATTAATAAAAATAGAATTATGTAGTAGCACAAGGAATTACAGTTCAATGATTATTTGTACAACAATTTAATTATTATGAGTTTACCAAATTTAGGAAATTTAAACGTGAAAAACATGCATGTGATTTATAATTGTAAATTTTTTTTTGTTTGATTGTTTCTTATCTTTTTTTTTTGTTTCTCACTCTCTTCTTTCACGACATTTTTTTTTTTTTTGAAAAGTTGGTATTTTTTCTTTTTTTATTTTTATAATATCTAGATGATTAATATACTAGTTAAAGTTAAGAACTTATATGTTCTCTCAGCAAGATAACTGAGATCTTGTTCATTGAACATACGGATAGTGACTTTGTGAGCGACCGTGCTCGTTACTATTCGCTTTTAATGTGCACATCGGTTTTTAAGTTCTTAACAATGATAGAGTTTATTTTTTTATTATATTTTTTTGTTTGCAAACAAATTTAATAGCTATTATTTTTTTTTAGAATGGAAAACAGTTCTTTGGAGCAAAATATCGAGACGGTTATTTTTTCGCTTCTCGAAATAAAGAAGAAAATAAAAGAAGCACCAAAAAAATCACCATGTCACGATTGCGAAAAACTAAAAGAAAAATGTAGAAATGCTTTTAAAAAATATAACAAAGGTCTATCTCTGGTCGAAAATATTGTTAAACTTCAAAAAGAAGTTGACGAAACAAATAGCGAATATTTCAAATTAAACAAGAAATATATAGCTTTAAAAGACAAATATGAACCACCCAACGATTAGTTTTTTAAAATTGTTTTTTAGTTTTTTTTTAAAATATTCTTTTTTTTTGTAAAATTTTATTTTTACGAATATGTTTTTATTATATTTAATAATTGTTTAAAATAAATTTTAAATTTTACTTTCAATATACTTAATAATGATGCTAACAGCAGCTGAAATTAAAGTTCCAAAGATTCTTTGTTCATAAGCGCAATACATCATAAACATAATAACAATAAAGAAAAAAATCAATAATAAAAGTTTCATAAAAAAAATTCTAACTTTCTCTCTCTCTTCTCGTTCTTTTTCTCTCTCTTCTCTTTCATATTTTTCTTTCTTTTCTAAGGGTTCTCTTTCTTTTTGTCTTTCTTTTTCTAAAGTTTCTCTTTCTTTTTGTCTTTCTTTTTCTAAAGTTTCTCTTTCCTTTCGTCTTTCTTCTTTTTGATCTTCGAGTAATCGAAAAGTAATATCTTCAATTTGTTTATTATAACGATTATTAAGCTTAACTACTTCTTTTTTATAATCATAATGTGGACAAACTCCTTCTTCTTCTTTTTTCTTTAACACCCCTCACCACTAATAGATGGACCTAACAAAAATACAACTACTTACAAAATTATACAACTTTTCAATCACCTTCAACTCCATATCAACACTCACTCTAACTACCTTCACCCCTATACACTTCAATATCCCTATACTCCTATCGAAAAAATACTAAATACACACAAACTATATCTGCAATTCAAAAAACAGCTACGTCATAAACAAATTATCTACTTAGAACAGCTTACATCATATGACAATTCAACTCTACTAGACTGGAAACACATATCACCACGATTACAACATATACCTAAAGGCCGTCAACCTTTGTGGTTTACAACACTAGAAAACAAAATTGTTACAAACCAAACTACAAGACAGATAGACTCTTTACTAGAACTAAGTCACATAAATTCACTTTCATTTACTACTGGACACTTCAAAACCAAACCTAAGCCCTGGCTTATTACCTATAACACAAATCAAAACATAATTCTTGGAAAAGCAAGAAGATATAACCAACTAGATGATACAAT